TTATCCGTGTTCATCTGTGGTTCCCCATCTTCCTGTCTAGCGAACCGGGCCACGCGCCCTTGCGGCGGTGGCCCGGCGTTACGGTCGTTACGAGCGTCACGGGGTCAGCGGATGCTGCCCATCACGCCGCGCTTGGCGTCGTCGTGCGAGTCGTAGTTGGTGACCAGGGCCTCGGTCGTCAGCAGGAGGCCGGCGATCGAGGCGGCGTTGGTGATGGCCGTCTTCACGACCTTGGCCGGGTCGATGATGCCCGCCTTNNNGCGTCGTAGCCGATGTTCTTGCCCTTTTGAGCGACCTCGTCGGCAATCACGCTGCCGTGCAGGCCGCCGTTGGCGGCGATCTGCTTCAGCGGGGCGTCCAGGACGCCCAGCACGATGTTGACGCCGATCTTCTCGTCACCCTTGGCGGACGAACGAGCGGCCTCGACGGCCTCCTTGCAGCGGAGCAGCGCGACGCCGCCACCGGGGAGAATGCCCTCTTCGACGGCCGCACGGGTGGCGTGCAACGCGTCTTCGACACGGGCCTTCTTCTGCTTCATGTCGGCTTCACTCGAGGCGCCGACCGAGATGATCGCGACGCCGCCGGTGAGCTTCGCAAGGCGCTCTTGGAGCTTCTCCTTGTCGTACTCGCTGGTCGAGGTCTCGATCGTCTTACGGATCTGGTCGATCCGCTTCTTGACGTCGTCGCTCTTGCCGGCGCCCTGGACGATGGTGGTCGCTTCCTTGTTGGCGCTGACCTTCTTCGCGCGGCCGAGATGCTCGAGCGTGACGCTCTCGAGCTTGATGCCGAGGTCCTCGCTGATCAGCGTACCGCCGGTCAGGGTGGCGATGTCGCCGAGCATCGCCTTGCGGCGGTCGCCGAAGCCCGGCGCCTTCACGGCACAGACGTTGAGCACGCCGCGGAGCTTGTTCACCACCAGGGCCGCCAGGGCTTCGCCCTCGACGTCCTCAGAGATGATCATCAGCGGCTTGCCCTTCTGGCTCACGGCCTCAAGGACCGGCAGCAGGTCACGCAGCGACGTGATCGTCTTCTCGTGGATCAGGATGTAGGCGTCCTCGAGAACGGCCTCCATCGCGCCTTGGTCGGTGATGAAGTAGGGCGACTGGTAGCCCTTGTCGAACTGCAT